GCACTTGCCAATTTAATGGCAGAGAATGGTGACTTTAGGTTTTGTTTGTTGTTTTGAAGCGGATGCATATCTGTCGTAAAATAATCCTATGCATCTCGTGGTGTATATTCCAAGCATTCTGAAGGTATACTGAGGGTTTGGTGAGAAACAAACCGAAATGGCAAGTTATTATATTTTATGAAAATCTTGTGTTGCAGTGCGAGTGCGCAGCAGCTCACGCCTTGCACAAGTGCATATCCTTTTGAGATATCAATTATAATAAATTTTAATGAAACACAAGACTACATTATATAACTCTAACAGTGGGCTATTTAATATCTGTTGTTCTACGGTTGTCAGTCAGAATGACAGTTCTTGCGTGAACATTATAGGCCTATATATACCCAAGCCAATTTATTATTCCTTCCTTTTTGTCTTAGTGTTTAAAATATTTATAATTAATATTTAATACAAATTAATTAATTCATTAAACAAACAAACTTACTGGGTGAGCAGGGTAGGCTATGACAGCTGTCATATCATACCCTGCCATGCCCAGCTGATGCAAAGAATAGAATATATTTATATCTACACAGAAGAAAGCCCTGTCTAGACTCTGCCCCAGTATGAGTTGTGTTGAGCTATTCATAAGCCAGTTTGACAAAAAAGGCTGACCAATCAGCAGAAAGGGGTGTTTAATTCCCACCCACGTGCAGAAATCAAGCATTCAAGCTGTTTATTCATTTTTCCACCCATGAACGAAAAACGAATATTTAAGTTGAATTCTCGTTTTTCGTTCTTTGGAAAAAAAAGAAAAAGGAATAATTTTCTCATTTTTCTACTTTCAATATTAAATCAAATAACGAATGATCGAATGATACACGGATTCAGCAACCTAATGCATTTAGTCGTAGACATGATCAAGACAATCATTTAAATGCTACAGCCTACCTGAGTACTGTTGCTGACCATGTCCATCCCTTTATGACAACAGTGTTCCCATCTTGTCATGGCTAGTTCCAGCAGAATAACGCGCCATGTCACAAAGCTCAAATCATCTCAGACTGGTTTCTTGAACATGACAATGTGCGCTTTGTCATTGTCTCTGAACTCAACTGAAATGTATATTTGTATATCATCAGCATAAAAATGATATTTTATGTTATATTTCTGAAATATATTGCCCAAAGAGAGCATTTAATGAAAATAAAAATGGCACAAGAATTGATACTTGGGGAACACCATATCATTTTTAATGTTTTTGATATAGTCACCAAAAATTGCCTTTCTGTAATATACAGTTGCAATCAAAATTGTTCAACCCCTCAGAGACTGCAGTACCTTACAAATACAAGCCTTTCTGGAAATCCAGATTTGTTTTTTTTTTTAAAAAATGGCATCTATAACAGTTTACTGGGATATTGAAAGTGATAATGCCAATATATAATGTAATATTTTTGAGTTATAGGATTTTTTAATAACACAGCTGTCATAATTATTCAACCCCTATTCAACATTGCTGTTTTTAAGTCACTTTTTTGTATGGTGGGGAACAAAACACAATTAAGCCTTTAGAAACTCTATTTAAAAACAGAATTAGCTTGAGCTTTTACACATACATAAAATTAGCCCATGCATGTGCTGACGTGAGTAGCAAACATGCAAATTCAACAGAGCTATAGAAGAAATGGGGGGCGCTAGTGTGCATGTCTGAGGTATAGACGCGTTTTGTTAGGGCTCCTCTCCAAGGCCTCGACAAAGTTATTATTTTGCCGTGTTTTCTTTAGTTTTAGGCCATTAAAGTGTGTCTACTTTACGCATTTAATGTGAACTTTTGTCTCGACTCAATAATGCCGAAGCCGAATGCCTCCAACAAAGTTAAGAATGCTGACGACCAAGTTTCCGGAGCTAACGCTAAAGCTAGCTCGCTTGACACGTCTGAAAAAATACCGGATACCACTTATGCTATGTGCAAGGAGATATGCAAAGAGATGTCCGAGTCAATCTTGCAGGGAGTTAACGCCCGCTTTGATGCTTTCGAACTCAATTTCCAGAAGCTTGTGACGTCGCAGGCCAAGCTACACGTCCGTGTCAATCAAAAATAATTTTGATTGAATCAAGAGCTGGCTATGAACGACTTTGAGGCACGGATACAAGAGTTGGAAACCAGGTACTCAGAGCTTTCTAAACAAAATAGTCAGCTCCGTGCTAAAGTGTTGGATCTAGAAGGTCGAGAAGACATAATATTAAGATCGTGGGGATACAAGAGGGCGAGGAGGAGAGTAAACCCACTGAATTTGTCTCCAGGCTGATTCCCCAACTGCTCGGAGAAGATGTTTTCCTCACCCGGTTAAAGTGGATCGAGCACATCGTTCTCTTCAGCCTAAACCGGCAGTTGGTGAGAATGCTGCGCACAATCCTGGCGCGCATTCACCACGTTCAAGAGAGG